ATAATTTTTCCTATGACCTATTACTGGGTCTAGATGCAATAAAAAAGTTCAAACTAATTCAAGATGAAAATTTTAACATTCTACAAAGAATTAATAAAAACAAGATCATCAAAATAGAATAAAGAGATAAGATGAATAACAATCACAACATGGTTAAATCAGATGAACTGACTGACAACCAATTTAATCTACAAAAGGCAGAAAAAAATAATTTAATTAAAATTTCAGAAGTCAATTTTAATGAAAATATGAATAAGACAATGTGTGAAAATTTAGACCACATTGAAGATGAAAATAGAAGAAAAGATATTTTAAATTTAATAAACAAGTACAAACATATGTTTTCAAAAGATAAATATGATGTAGGAAAAGTGAAGTCAAAAGAAGCAGAAATAAAATTAACCAGAGATGAATATGTAACAGCAAGACCATATAAATGTTCTATAGTTGATGAAGAGGAAATCAAGATTCAAGTCAAGAAGTTATTAGAAGCTGATTTAATTGAAGAATCGGAATCTCCTTATGCCTCGCTAGTAACTCTTGCTTTTAAAAAAGATGATGGTCGTCGGACAAGACTTTGCATTGATTTCAGACGATTAAATAAATTAGTAGTTCCTGAATGCTATCCATTCCCTACTATTAATGATGTCATAGATAAGGTACCAAATTGCAAATATTTCACTGTACTTGATATAAATTCTGCATTTTGGTGTATATTATTAAAAAAGGAAGATTGAGAAAAGACTTCTTTTATAACTAAGTATAGAAAATTCATGTTTAAGGTTTTACCCTTTGGTCTTAAAAATTCTCCAGCAATTTTTCAACGTATTCTATCCAATATCATAAGAAGAAATAATCTGGACAATTTTTGCATTAACTATATTGATGACATACTTATATTTTCACGCTCATGGGAAGAACACATTATTCATATTGAAGAGACTCTATAAATTATCACAGAAGAAGGTTTTAAATTAAAATTAAAAAAATGTAAGTTTGCTGCTAAAACCATTAAATATCTTGGACATTTTATTCAAGAAAATAAAGTAGCCCCAGCTCAAGAAAATTTAATCGCCATCAAGAATCTTAAGAGACCAACAGATAAAACAGGAGTTAGAAGTGTGTTAGGATCTATTAACTTCTACCTTAAATATATCAAAAATAGTGCTCACAAATTTGAACCACTGCATAAGCTCTTGAAAAAAAAATGTTAAGTTTCATTGGTCCCAAGATTGTGAAGATTCTTTCAACTTGAATATTTATGTTCTCAGCCAATCTTAGCCATTTACGATAAAGCCAAAGACACTTATATTAAAACTGATGCTAGTTATAAAGGAATGGGAGCTACTTTGAAACAACTACATCCTGATGGTTTGTTACATCCTGTCACATACTTCTCAAGAAAATTATCAGAAAAAGAAAAAAAAATGGACATCATCCATGTTGAATGCAAAGCTATCAAAGACGCAATAAAATATTGGCAATATTATTTGATTGGTCGTGAATTTATTGTTTGTAGTGACCACAAACCTCTTGAGAATCTAAAAACGAAAAGTAGAACAGATGAAATATTGAGCGATTTAGTGCACTATTTGTCTCAATTCAACTTTAAAATTATTTATAAGAAAGGAAAGGAAAATATAATGGCTGATTTACTTTCTCGATCACCAGTATTAGAATATTTTGAAAATGAGGATGCAGTCCAAGTTGTAAATTTAATTGAAAGACCTGAAATTCTTCAGGATCAAAATGATAACATGACTGAATTAAAGAGTGCCAAGAAGATTGAAAAACGCCATGGTATTATTTACAAAAAATTGAAGGACAAATCAAGGATATTTGTTTCTGATAAATTTGGTTTAAGAATAATAAAAAAGGTACATGAATATTATGGACATATTGGAGCTGGAACATTGAAAGAGAAAATAAGACCATCTTATTATTTCAAAAACTTTGATCAACTAATTGAAGAATTTTGTAAAAGTTGCACTGTATGCTTAGAGAACAAAACTAGAAGAAATAGAATCATCGGATTAATGTCAAAACTAGGACCCGCGACGAATGTGTCAAAGAATACAATCGGACAATTCATAGTTCCACGAAATTTGAACCTGAATACTTATTATACGGCATAAAGTCAACTATCACTCCATATGACGTACCGGAAAGCGATTTAGCTGCAGATAGAATACAAGCCGGTCGAAATTCTATGCAAAATTTTGAAATAAACAAGAAAAGGGTTGACAAAAATCGTCAAGAGTACAAATTTGAAGTGAGCAATCAAGTCTATATCCAGAATGGGAGTAAACTTAATAGAGGTAAAATGGACAGAATAAGAGTTGGTCCGTTTAAAATTCTTAGCAAGATTTCACCGTCGATCTTCGAAGTAGACTGCGGAAAGAAGAAGGAATCACATTTTTTTCACATTAATAAATTGTCACTTTATGTACCTCAAAAAGTGACTTGAGGGAGAGAGATGTAAATTATATTTCATATAATTATCTATCTATTTCTATTCTGTGCTTGTAAATTAGGTTTCATTACTTTGGTATCATCTTATATATAAATGCAAATAGCACGTGGTCATATTTTATTATTGCACGTGGTAATATTTTATTATTGTTGGCTTTGTAAACGATCCTGAAATTTAATTTTTCTATTTTAGATTGGTTATTCATTTATAATTTCTGTAATATTTCATATTGTTTCAATTGATTTTATTTATGTTCTTTATTCACTCATTTGGATTTTCTATTTTAGATTAATAAATCAGGTTATTTGAAAGCAAACTTATATATTCATTATTATTGAGTAGTTTAGTGATTTTATCTTGTTCTGTTTTCCTGCTTCCTATATCAGAATAGTGCGTATAGGCTATGTTTACAAATGCAGAAATCAATCGTGCTTTCTAGATATGTTTGACAACATTCACTATTGCTATTGAGGCATAAGCCTTTGTTTGTTGCCTTGGTGTTTTTAAATTGATTTTGCACATCTTGAATTAGTACGTCTAGGAATGGTAGTTTATTGTCAGTTGATTTTTCCATTGTAAACTTTAATTTTGACGAAGTCTTGTTATTTGTTCATCATCTTCATATGTAACAAATATATCGTCAACGTATCGGCAGTATATATTGGGTTTTAGCTCTGGTTCTTCTTTAAATAACATTTCCTAACTGCAATTGTATATTCTATCAATTATTATGTTGATTGTATTCTCTACAGGAACATTTATAAAGAGTAACTCCACATCCAAAGTCGCTATTTTGGTGTTAATAGATGGTTTTGTTGTAGACAATAAATCTATGAATTCCCTACTTGATTTTAGATTGTAGCTGTCAGGGTGTAGGGTGTAATAAGTGTTGTGTAATTATTTTGTTGAGCATTTTTGCAATGGGGTAAGTGATCGCAGGTCTTTGGCTAAATATTGGTCATAGATGGTTGTTAGCCCTATATGTCTTGACCGTACGGTATGCATATCCTGGTTTATATTCGCCCGTTAGTATAGGTATTTTCCCTTCTGTTTTTTCGTTGATTCTTCTGATGATCTCATTCAACTTTGTTTTAAGCTTAATAGTTGGATCACTACTAATCTTGATAAATTTGTCAGCGTCACCGAGAATGCCATTCAGTTTTTCACACTCAAACACACAATTAAAAAAATTCATATACGATATATATGCGTGCATCATTACAATAATTAGCAAATTTTGACCTCAAAAAATAATTGTATACCGTGAAATAAAGGGAAAGATACGAGATATTAAAAAATTATTAAACAATTGATAAATCAGAAATTACTAAACATTTATCGGAGCACTGTAAAGTTATCTGAAAATAATTTAGTACCGAGGATTGGAAGAGGCACTAAAAAAATTAACTCTCAATGTCGATATCTGTAATGATAGTTAGTTCGGAATTTTTTGGTTTATTTATTCAGTAAAGCCCTTTCCTTATATACACATTGGGGCAACTGATATTTGTGTTAAGATAACGATTAGTAGCTTGATATTGGGCGGGGTAAACTTGCAAATAACATATCATGCTAATTATCTCATTTTGTTCTTTTATCTCAACTAATAAAACTTTGCCATTAACACACTGTTTATTATATCTAAGGCATCCCGAAGTACGCCGGGACATCTAATAGAAAATAATGTGCAAATAAACGAAACCTCTTAACAAAAAACTATGTTCAATAAAAATTATGCCCGATAAAAATTTTTGAAATCAACCTTTGTTAGCCAATAGTTTATTTTGGGGACCAGGAAGTGCCAAAAATTTTTCCGGTATTATCCAATTTATATCGCCATTTGCCATTTTCTTAAAATTTTATTGAAAATTTATTAAAATGTATTGTAATTTGTTCAATTTAATAACAAAAAATTAACTTACAAATAATTATTCAATTTTAGGTGATTTTCGGAAATTTTTTTGTTTTATTTCAATTCGATTTCAATTCTTTCCATTTTGTCAATCAAATCAAAGTTATTTATAACAATAAAATGTAATGAATTGACTAAGATGGCAAAAAGTAGAAACTTGTAAGAGGCTACTTAATGTTTAGAAAAAAATAACTATAATTCGTTTTTAAAGAACAAAATTATAAAAAAATATTAACCCAGAATATAAGCCGTAACAAAGAAATCAAATCTCATCACATTCAAGACATTAAAAACAATTATAAAATGAAGGAAGTTGTTTTTTTGTTTTTTCACAAGTAAAATCTATTTCTTAATTTAATGAAATTTAGTGAAATGCCGTGGAAGCCAATTAAATTTTTTATCATTTTAATTATAATTATATTTATATTATTTTTAGTTTTTTTGTTACTACAATTTTATCACAGGCCTATCAACTTGTTAAAGCTCAAATGAAGTAAAAACCAAATAAATTAAAACATTCAATTATCTGCAACTTTAAAGCAGAAATTTATTGAATATGAAACAAAAGTCTCATTTCATAATTTATTTTAAAAACAAAAAATTGATTAACACTAGAATTAGACATAATGACTTACCTCCAAGTGTTCATACTCAGCTACGTTGAATGAGGTCAAATTGAAGATTCCTAAAGTTCTAGACTAATTTTTTAAAATTGACAATTAAAAAATTAACCAAAACAAACAAATAAATAAAAAAATTTAAACAAAACAATAAATTTTATTAAAAAAGGTTTTTATTAATTTCTAATTATTGGAAAATAAAAGAAATGCTTCCAGTGCTAAACGAAGTGAATTAGACTTTTGGACGAAAAAGAAAAATTATTGTCAAGTATATCTAAAACGTTTTATAAAAAATAAAATGTGTGTTTACAATTTGTAAATGATGCTATATAAGATAACTTCATTCATTTTTAATGTTATTATTGATTTTTAAATGATTAAAAATTTAATCCATTTCACTGTAATTTTTGAGCCAAGATAACAATCGTAAAGATAACAACCAGTTTGGTAGTGCATGAAGCGTGAAGACAAAATATTATATGTAGCAGAAAAGCCTTAGTTAGATCATTACAAATTTGGTTTTTAGATTATTATCTATAGCACAAACATTGTAAAAAATCAACTAAAATGACCTATTCATAAAAACTCAACAAAACCAAAATATCTTATTACCGACAAAGTGCTATCGGCAGCGGAAAATTAGACTATGAAATGTTTAAAACTAACACCCGAAATTAATGTTGTTGACCAAGTATCGTTATGATTTAGAATTTTAAAACAAAACTAGCATAACTATTTAAAAAAAGTTTAATTTTATAAAACATTATTTTGGTATACTTATTTTAAATATATAATAGTTTTTTTCCAAAGAGTAACTAAATGATCAAACTTTTACAAGTGCTCTGAAACAGTCCAACAATCCTAAGTTGTACAACGAAGGACCTAATGACACATCTCTTAAGGAGTGGTTTAGTAAATTGAAATATAAAAAATTATTCTGTTATATTTAACAATAAAAATATTAATGATTAATGATAAAAATGTTATCATTTTTTATTGTGTCTCAAAAGCTCATTGTTGTTGACGTTTTGACGCACTTTTTACTTTTGGGTACACTATTAAATTGAGGCTTTTATGCATTCATATTTGGGGTAAGTGAAAAAGTGAAAGCAGTTAAATTTATCAGCGTTTGCTTTTAGCAGATTTACACTGAATGATTGGACCGTACATGAAGGATTAGACTTGATCTAGACATCCAGAGGCTATGTTACACAGCTGTTAGAGCTGTTGTATCTTACTAATCCAAAACTCTGCTTATAGTTATTAAAAATAAATACAATTTAAAAAAATGGTAATTAAAGCATAAAAAAATAATTTTTAAGTCATCTTTTTATCAAAAACACAGGCAAATTACATTAATATTCTTAAATGTGACTTATTTTCCTGAAACAATTTTATGAATGAACTATAAAAAATTGATATTACTTTAAATTTGTTTGAAAATGTATTAAATTAACTAAAAATATAACATAAACATAAAAACATATATATCTGTCACACACGTGCGAGACACGTGCAAGCCATATAGTAATCTGATGTATTTTTAGTTCATTTCTAACATTTTTTTCAAAAAAATTTAGTTCCCATCAGTAAATGCTATTGTGATACGATTGGAAGGTTTTGCTGAAAATGCTAAAAGACCGCATTAACGTCACCGTAATAATTGAATTTGTCAATGTTCTACCTGTAAGGCAGATAGATAGGAACTTTAGGTTGCGAAATCAAACATCGGACAGTTTCTTCTGGAGATTTTTCTGCAACAAGCACCTTAACCAGTTCAAAGGTAAGAGTATTATAAAATCGCAACAATATTAAATGTTTAGATCATGTAACTTACAGAATAACATCCTACAAGAAAAGCAGCATTAGTTCGTTTTTTTGAATCTTGAGACGTCACATGACACAATTTTCTTCCTGTGGCTTGGAATGACTTTGAATACAAAAATGTATTTTAATATTTTAAAGTAAAATTTAATTCTTAATCCAAAACATTTAATAAAAAAAACGTTTCGCAGCATAAATGAACAAACTGCAGCCCACAGGCCACTTATGGTCTGCCAGCCTATTTTATGCGATCCCTGAATATTCAAAGTAGTTTAGTTTTGTGTAGAGGCGAGCAAGAACAAAATTGTTTCTAATTCTTTCTTAGTTTTTTTTGGATCATTTCCATTTCCTTTCCGAATTTTCAACAACCTACCTCTAACTTCCCATTCCCATGTTTTTCCGCTTTTCCCACTCTACATTTTTCCAATTCCTCAAAATTACAAGAAATTAACTGCAAAAGCAGTTAATTGCCAGCGTTCATACATAAAAGACTCAAATGTATGTTGCAACACCGAATCGTTTTTGTCGAAAAACGATTCCGTGTTTTTTCAAATGAAAAATTTGATATTTTGGTTTGCGATGTCTATGGTTTACTTGACATAGTGTTGTGGATTTTCTATCACTAAATTTTCCGTTATAAACTAAAGTTTTTGCTCATTTTCCTTCGACAAAACAATAATTGATTTTTTTCTGACAACGTTTTTATAATTTGCGAAAGATTTTGTTGCTGTATTACAGTTCGTTTAACAATTTATTGTGAATTCAAAAAAATTTCATCATCGTCGTCATAGTAACCGATTTTAATTTCAAATTTCAACGGATTTTTATTCTAATTTAATTTAATTTGAATAACAATTTCACTTTATTTTTAGCTAATTTCAATTTTTCAATTAACTTTCAAGTTTTCTGATTCTGGGTTTCAAATTTTGTTGAGGAAAAAAGTTTTTCATAGTGGTCTAATGATGGCAAATTTGTCGGGTATAAAATCAAGCAGTTGTTGGCGTGTGTATTGGATCTTCAATTGAGTATGTGAGCAATAATTAATAGCGAATGGATAAAAGTAAAAACGGATGAAAAAAATAAAATTTTAAAAAATAAAATTACTAAAACAGATCATCACCGACATCAACACCTTTCCTTTTTTCTTCAATCGCAACAGAACTTTACAACAACTTCAACATCAACACCCCCGGCCCAGCTACCTAGCACTAATTCATCGTCAGCAATTTTTTTTTATTATTTTTTAAAAATCAAGATCTGACAGACGCAGAAACTGTAACAACATGCAAGGCATTAGAACAAAATTGAACAGATAAGTGAGAAAATAAATACAAAAAGTGAGGAAGAAAAATGATAAAACATGAAAAATAAAATATGTTAAAATAAAATAAATAATAATAATAAGAAAAATAAAAGAAAAGTGATTGACAATAGAATATAAAATGAAGTAACGGCAAATTGATAGACTAGATGATGATTTAGTGAGTTAGTGAGGTGATCGATAAATAAAAGCTAGACCTGTGAGTGAAAAAGTTTTAATGAGTATTAATATGTTTGATGATTTATTAATAGACTAGATGATGACTTAGTGAGTTAGTGAGGTGATCGATAAATAAAAGCTAGATCTGTGAGGTGATCGATGAATAAAAAAGCTAGATCTGTGAGTGAAAAAGATTTAATGGGAATTAATATATTTGATGGTGAGTTAGTTGGTGAGTTAGTGAAGTGATCGATAAATAAAAACTAGTTCTGTTATGATAAAGTTTTATTGAGTGCTAAAATGTTTGAGGTGCCTTGTGATGAAGGTCTTTTCCTGGTATTTAAATTGGGCGACGACTTGATAGTTATGTTTGCGCTGACGAAAGTTGTGTGTTGTAGTTTTGATTCGTGGTAGTAGAGGATGGATGACGTGGTTGTTGTTATTTTCTACTTTTTTTGAACAGCCTTTTATCGAGTGTGTTGAATGTCTGAGTGACGGTAGGATATGGTGCAGGTAGGTAGCTGAAGCGAATTAGTTTTTTGATAAGAGATTGTAGTTGCTAAAGTTGTTGTTGCGTGGCAAAACCAGACCAGAAGGGAGCTGCATATTTGATGCGTGAGATGATGAGTGATTCGGTGATTTCGAATAATTTGATGCCTCTGAGTGCGTGAAATGTTTGAAAGCCTTTTATGATGATATAATTGATATTGAGGTGCTATATTGAGTGTGGAGGTGAATGTGATGCCTAATATTTTTAGTTGATTTGTGCGAGTGATTGATGGGTGTTCAGGAGGTAATGTTATTTTTTTACGGTACCACCCCAGTCGACGCTCCTAACCTTATCATCCAAATCTCATCAACATCAAATTCACCCCGACTTAAAACCCTGCCAAAATCACCCCATGTCATCATCCACCCACCATCTACATTTTGAATGTCACAAGCATTGTCAAGTCACATGCTATTGAGCATTTGAGATGTGATGTGTATCATCTCCACCCTGACATCATCACATTCACCGAGTCATGGCTTAGGCCATATTACCCTGGTGGTTTGAGCGCA